AAGGTCCATCTGGTCGGACTTTCAGTCCCAGCCGGCCCGGCTCCACAACCCCGACCCGTCGCTAGGCAACCGGTTGGGTTCTGATGTAGCGTTTACTGGACCCGACGCGCCAGGCTGCAACGTCACCGTGTGGAGGAACGCAGCGGACCTGCGGGTTCTGTGGTTCTGTGGTCGGATCCGGTGTTCTGACTATCTGAGCTACCTCGTCAGATTTTCCTACCGTAGCACGGATAGATAGCTAGGCCTACGTATCTATCCGTGCTACGCGTCCAAAACTGCTACCGTCATGTTTACAAACAGAAACTACAGCAGGTTGTTCATGTTAAATACATTGAATAACATTATTTGAGTGACGGGACTGAAGTGGAAGCTTAGGAGTTAAGCTTAGCTTAGCATTGGAACAATTTATATACATGACGAAACCACAAGAAGATCACTTCCTTCATCTGAATGTCCTACCCGTTTAAAATGAAAAGCTATAGATGTATGCACTAACCCTTTTACTAGAATATCCTACTTGTTAAAAATATTTTAAATACAGAGGCGTTTGTAAGAATAAAACAGTATCAGGCAGGGGAAACAGGTTTTTATTGGAATTAAAGACAAATACAAATCACCGCAACTCTTTTTTACGCATTAATACGCTGTATGTCAGACTTTATTAAATGCAGCGCAGCCGCAATGTGTCCACCGAACTGCGCAGGTCACTGAAATGATGGGATATGATTCATGTACACTAATATTACACCTCTCATAGTATCCTACCAACATCTATTTAGCAAGGTTTAGTAATAGAGAGTGTTATTATACTAAAATATTTTAAAGTATAGCGACAAAAACTCCACAAAACAACATATTTTGTCCTGATTAACCGCCAAATAATTGTTTACAATAACGACATTGCAGACGGCAAACTAAAGCCATTTATAAATATATTTACAAGCTGCCTGTCAGGTAAACTAAAACCATTAAGTAATACAGCAGCTTAATGAAAGCCAGGAATAAAATAAATAAAGCTTACCATAATCTGCGATGAAATAAAACACATGAAACGAAACTTCCACAGGTCGGCCGTATTCATAAGAAATCTGCCGTCATCGATGTGCGCATGCGCATTACTACAAAGTAGGACGGATTTAAGGGTAGCACTGATAGTCAGAACACCGGCTGTAGCGGCCTGCGGGTCGGCCAATCAGAACCACACACACACACAGAAGGTGGGGCAGAGAGGTTTACCATCATT